CACGTGTAGCATTTACATCTGCGCTTTATCTGATGCATCATCAACAACATTAATATCTGATGGATGTTCGTAACAGTCGATCACCCTATCATATTCTTGATGGTTACTCAAATTAAAATTGTCATCGTCCATTTCATTTGATTTGTTGACAATCTTAAACAATTGTTCAAACTTCTCATCGAAATATTCCTAGAAAAAAAATTACTAACAATGATTAATTTGAACAACATCAGCAGAAATTAAAAGGCTTCTCTATAAATTAGCTTACCTTCACTTTTACAAAAACGGCATCAACAATAGCAGATCGCTCATCCTTTTTAAACTTATCGAAAACTTCGTTCACGGTCGTGCTTCTTTCTTTTTCTGCATGCCTTTGAACCTCCGTCGTTAACCTCTAGAATAGATACACAACAAAAATTCAGATATAGAAGAAAACTTCAGCTCAAAAACATGTTGTACTTTTACAAAAACAAAACCAAAAAACTTCAGATCAAAACTTACAGAACATATTGTCTCAAGTAATTCATTGTCATCAAAGTTAGATGTAGAATGGGTAGAACGACTCTGGGTACGAGATGATTCACCAATAAAAGGAGTTCGATTCGGTTCTTTTGATCGACTCCGACTACGTGGTGATTCACCAATGACAGGAGTTCGATTCGCTTCTTTTGATCGACTCAGAGTACGTGCTGATTCACCAGTTGAAGGAACTGCATTAACTACCTTTGAACGAATTCGGCTGCATGGTAATTGTCCAATTAAAGGCATTGAATTCAATTCCTCTTCTGTAGGAATTATATCCAATACCCTAAAGTCGCGATATCTCTGTTTAATACAAAAAAGTATATTATTAGGAGAAAAAAACTAATACATCAACATACTAACACAAAGACAAAAAAAAGTAACTTACTTCATGAGTACTGAACATATGATAAAGTTCAAGAAATTTAAGCTCTCCCACACATACATAACGTAACATCCTAGGAACCTGAGGGGTATCATGGTACTCATCCTCTCTTATATACTTCTTCCGAACATTTGGGAAGCGCTCATAGAACCAAGAACATAACGGATATGGAAATCCACCAAGTCTATACTCAGTTGTATGTAATTTGTTCTGCTTGTCCAATGCATGTTTCAGTGAATAAATGAGTTTCTTATAAGCCACATTACCCCAAGGATATTCAGCACAAACCTTATCATCTTGAACAATAGATGCATACTCCTCCATCACAGATGACTCGGTATGTTTCCAAACAAAATAGACTCTACAACAAGAATTTTCATAAGCTTAACAGCATCATCATCACTCTCGCATACGTGTACATGATTCACAGCATTCTTTGGAATTTCATTGCGAGTCATAAAACTTCGAATATCCTTCAAAGTCATACTCTTGGACTTACCAAAATACCGCTTCAGAATATTGCTCTCTCGATTAATTGGTTTTTCAACATAATGTGTTGTGATCCACAAACCACACATAATGTGAAAGTCTTCAAGGGTGAAGGAAACATCATGACCAAAAATCTTGAAACTAATGGAGTCTCGATCATTGGTGAATATTCGAGAAAGACACAGACAATGAACCAACTTCATGTTGCATTGGAAATTCTCCATAGCCATAATGTATCGAAATGTACCATTATTAAGCTTATCCCGTTGTGTAGGAGTCAAGAAAGTTGCAATTAATTTCTTCAAATCATGGTTCCCCTTCCAGTAACCCTTAGAGTTAAGCCAATCTTCAAACTTAAAATATCTTTGCCCTGGTCTTGTAGGTGGAGGAGCAGGGACATAAGGACCTGGGGGTATTATAGGTTGTCTAGGTGCTTTAGGTGCTTTGCCTACTTTAGCTGCATTAGGATCTTTAGGTGCTTTAAGAGCCATCTGTTCAAAAAAAGTAAAAGATACAAAAAATAACATCAGGACATTATCAAAAAGATCAGTTAAAACTTCAATACCTAAGAAGGCTGAAGTTCGATAGTTACAAAGACAAAAACTTCAGCCCTAGAGCTGAAGTTCGACAGTTATAAAATAAAAACTTCAGCTCTAGAGCTGAAGTTCGACAGTTATAAAACAAGAACTTCAGCTCTAGTAACAAACACAAAAACTTCAGCTCCTAAAGCTGAACTTCACTAGTTACAAACACAAAACATTCAGCAAAAAAACATGTTGTAGTTTTTACAAAAAACAAAACACATATTCAAATCCAAAAATAATGCCAAAACATGAAAAAAACTTCAGCTCCTATCTAAGGTATCATTGAACTATTATAAAACAAATAATAGTTCAGCTCCTAAATAGTATCATCTATTTAACTCTCAAAATTTTTAAAAATTTGGACGTCTAATCACAGAAGAATTTATAGAATTTTCATCAACAATATACACTCGTTCAAAAAACCTAAAAACACAATCGTAAAGTAAAACTAATGCACTTATCAAACTAAACGCTAAAAAAATATTTTATCATAAATACATGACTATCAAAACCAAAACCAGAAATTAAATCGTAAAATAAAACCCAGAAAGTTAATGCAATGTACCTGTGATTAAATCGTAATGTGGGAACAACGACGACTAGCAGTTGAAAAATCAAAACAACAACACGAATACCAATGTGATTTCAGAGAAGAACAAATCAAAAAACGCGAATAATGGGAGAGAGAGACAGAGACAGTAGAGGACTAGTGTATACTTGGAGAGAAAGTAGTCTTTTAATAAAGAAGGGCAAAATAGTCTTTTCAAATGGCTTTTAACAAAAAAACGGGTACGGGTGCAAACAGAGAGACAAAGCGGCTACAGGTTAAAAAGGGGCGCCCAAATAGGGCGCCCCGTGCAATTTTTACTATTTAATTTACTAATATTAATGGCTATAAAACTTATTGGAGCATTCAAAAGTTCTAAGTCCAACCTTGAAATAATAAATTAAAAGATAAAATTATGAAAAATTTTAAAAAATATTTATAAATTACATCACAATAAGTATATTTATATATTAAATATATCTAAAATTTCTATATATGTAATGTCGGGTTGGTTTGGTTTCAGTTTGACTTTCTTTAGTTAAAACCAAACCAATTATGGTCGAGTTTTTTTTTCCAACACCAAACCATAGTCGAGTTTTTTTTCTCGGTTTGACTCAGATTATCGGGTTGGTGCGGTTTGTCGGTTTCTTTTATACACCCCTAGTAACAATACAATTAAACTAGTCTAAATTCATAATAATACAGTGTGGAGGAGACTGTTGACCATTGTACTGTTTGGTGACAATCATATGCAATTCCTCATTCTTTTTTTTCTTTTTCTTTTTTAAGTTTAAACAGAAACTCCGTCCCTTAGCTATTTCTTCTCCGCTTGAGTCAAAAAGAGGACCACCAAATGGCATAATCATTAAAGAAAATCACGCCCTCTTATGTTTTTCAATTAAAAGATGTTTCCATTTCAATCATCGTCTTGATTATAAATCTCCTAGTAATCTTATCATAAGAACTTTTCTATTCCACAACTCGCACGAGATATGCAAATATCTGCCTTACTATTTTTATTCTATTCGTGAACAAGAGTAACAATGAAATTCCTAAATATAAAAAATTGCCAAAAATAGACGAGCAAAGGCTTACCAAAATGGTTCTATCTTATAGACGCTTAGTAGTCGTGGTTTCCCTATATATATACACACACACTAATCGTCAAAAAAAAAAAAAAAAAAAAAAAAAAAAAGAAGAAGAAAATCACAGTTGAATGAACCGTGTTTATCATTATGGCTTACTCGGTTTAAGCGTTTCATAAGAGAAAAAGAAAGATGGAACGAAACACAACAAACTATTTTTAAATAGAAAAAGAATGGAAAAGGTTATATTCTTCTCTATTTCCTGCTAACTGCTAAGTAAATCTATTGAGAAGATCACGGGAAAAAAACTATTGAGAAGAAAAAAATACCACCGCCTTGGAGAAGCGCATAAAAAAAAGGCAAAAGTAGCTAAAAATAATGGTGACCCTCCAAATTTTCTTCTTATATACAAACTACGACATTACAACAGCTTAGGCTGCTGGTAAGATTATCTCTCCCTACTCTAAAAAGCTGGGCCAATCTACAACACTACTCACTAATTCGCCACCAATACCAATATCCGTCCTTTTGACCTTTTCCCTTTAGTTTTGATGGTTTTATAAAGAAAATTGTTCCACAAATCATATTGGCCGACCAGGTAAAAGTCCAACCTAGTTGCAGCACCCCGCCTTTTCTCTCAAGCAACACATGCATGAACATTTGGATCTTGATTAAAACTTAAAATAAGACACACTTTTCTAAAGGCCTCATATATAAAGATCAAGGAACCCATTCATGGCTGACGCCTGTCGATACTCCACGGTTTGCCCTTCCTTACCTTTTATCTCTGAGTTTTAATTACATGCACAGCCAACTTAAACCAATTCTACTTCAACCAAAAAAAAAACAATTCTACACCATCAAATCACTTATAAGATTATCATTATAAATCTCCATAATAAGCATTAATTAATAAACTGATAAAACTAGTAACTATTCTGTTATCATTATGCTATAATGCTAGCGGAAACAATCTTTACACCATCAACTTAAATCCTTTCTCTCTTATACGCTTTGTTCACACTAGCTAGTAAGGACTATAATCAATCAAGCCAACGACAATACAGATAATATTAACATTTGGTTAAAAGCTAAAGCTTACCTTTATGAAATAATTTCTAAACGCCAGCTCAACTGGGTGAAATGATTATGAGTGTCTTTGATCATTGTATATTATTTTGATCTCCATCATATTTTCTCCGGAGTTTTATTTGTATATATGGTTTTGAATAAATGTATAGAGTATGTCATTGCTTCCATTTTAGGATAGACGACAGTGATCACAAATGTTATGCTTCTACCAGGTATAGAAATGGTATAAAGACCCTACACCAGGCAAAATATAGTAGTGAATAAAAACCTTCTAGTCCAATAAGCGAGCAACTATATCAGAGTTCTGAAGTTAATCCTAATCAAAGATGATTTTTTTCCTGATGACATGTTTTTTGAAATGGAAAAAAAAACATGTCATCAGGTTATACAAACTGGTCCTGATGACATGTTAAACCAACAGGTCCCTAATATTCTTCAGATATCAACTGCTTATCATGAAATTCTATTCAATTACAGATTATTGCTTCAGTTGAATAAAATCGCTTATACATAACTAATTTTTTGGGAAATGGTAATTGTGCTTTAATTACAATCTTGGCATGCAATAGTGAACGCTATATATAGATATTACAACAGCCTATGTGGAAGAATTATGAGCTCCAAAAAAGAAAAGGAAAGAGTACTCTCGCCTGTTATGAGACATGGAGATTTTGGATATCAATTCGCAATGCTTTCAGTTTCTTCTCAATCTTTGTCAATTCTTCTGCAGTCGCCAAAACTTTATCCAGTCTATGTTGCGCTCTATCTTGATATGGCTTGCCAATGACCTTTACAAAGTCCTCCACAGTCCTTGTTGTCTCCAAGAGATCCTTCTGCATAGCATCTTCAAGTTCACGTGCAAGTCCATCAGCAGTCCTCTTTACTTTATCTACCACCTGCTGCCTCCGGGATGAGAAGTTGGAGACTGCTAATAAACTATTAAAGACAGCTTTAGTTAGGATACTATCCATGACGTAGAAATCAAACAAATGCTGAAAGAAGGAAACAAATTCCTTTCAAATAAAGATAATGTGCAACACTTCTCCAGACATGCAAGAACTCAATGAGAAAATAATTACTCCTAGAAAGATATTCATCAGGGAATAATTAGTTCACACAACCAGTGGAGAAACTAGTAGATACCTCTCTTTTCTTCTCTGTTCTTTTCCTCTCTTTTTTCCCTTTTTCGGAGAGAAAGAAGCTTATAATACCACTTATTACGTTCTGACCGATTCTGAGGAAATCTTACATCTCATTAGCACTTAAGCTTTATCAATGATTCCCCATCTAAACGCCAATCAGACACATACGAGAACGACAATGAAATACTTTCAATTGGAACAAAAGGAACAACTATATATATTTGCTCAGATCCTACAGTATGGCATTATTTTACGCTCAAGTTAGTCCACTCGTTTAACATTGAAATGTCAGGAGACAGGAATCATTAACCTCAACGAGCCAGCAGTTAATGTCCAATTACAACATATTGAAACAAAACGTGAAGCTCTAACTGACTTAAAAAATGGACAGCCCGGTGCACTATGCTCCCGCTATGCACGGGGTCCGGGGAAGGGCCGGTCCACAAGGGTCTATCGTACGCAGCCTTACCCTGCATTTTTGCCCGAGATTGTTTCCACGGCTCGAACCCGTGACTTCCTGGTCGCATGGCAGCAACTTTACCAGTTACGCCAACGCTTCCCTTCCTCTTAAGGGACTTAATGTTAGTTAAATCAACCAAACACAGAATAAGCTCTGATTAGACAACCTAAGATTTTCAATGGGTTATTGATCTTTGTGCCAAACAAAGCACATTACCTCTCAAATAATAGAATGCAAATCAGAGCTATTAATAACATTATGAATTGATTCATCCTAAGAAAGTATGAGTTGTTACCCAACCAATACAAGCAGGGTGACCACAGTCAAGAAGTTTTAGGAAATTCTAATAAATGAAAATAAAGATGCAACACTTAGAGAAAATTAAAGAACATATTAGCAAAATTTAAATTAAAAAATGAGGATTACCCGCCAGCGGAACAAAGGCCAAGAGCAAGGAGATCCTCTAATGTGGTTGGAAGAACAGATGTTAGAAGTGATGCTGATAAACCAGCTGCTCCAAGACCACCAAAAGTACCCAAGAACTGAAAAGGGAATGAGCTCCTCATACATTTGTTTTGAGTAAATCATTTCTTAAATAACACATGTATCCTTCAAAAATACGGACACCTATGCAAGTCATATTGCACACCCCACAAATGGCTTTGCCAAATACCTAGCAAGCAAAAGATGAACTTTTTGTGACTGATTTCCTCTCCTAACTATCTCGAATCTGTCTAGGAAGTGAAAAGAACGTCAAACTCTCTTAGAAGGTATGCAATATTATCTATCACCTAACTGGATATAGAATGGTGAAATGTGGTTTTATTGGGGAATAAAATAGATAGAGGAGCTTAAAATAATAGGGTAGGATTAGTGTCAATCACTGCTTCCCAAAAGAGCATCTGTTTTGGTCTTCCCAATGCACAAGAACCTTCATATTTTTTTGCTATTGTTCAAAAAGTTCTAGTCCAACAACAAATATTAGCATTGAACTAAAAAAACTTCACCTGTATGAGTGAATGTAGAAAAGGCATCTTTCTTTGACACTAAGAAAAGAAATACAACAATATAACAGAATTCTCCCACCCTTGTCTGTGAGGGAGAACAGGAAAGCTCCACAGACCTCTGTCTAAATCTATTACCGTGAATGAAGTATGTCTACACATTTTACCTGATCCTCCACTCCCAAAAAGGAAAGATTCCACATCTTTCAAAGGTTAAAATAAAGAATGAGTAGGCAAAAGAAGCGTCTTGACAGAATGATGGTCACCGAAGCCAATATGCAATAACTTGCGAATCATACCTAATTTTCTAATGACGCCAGAATGCTATTAATATATGATAGAGATTTCTTTTTCTTTTTTTTTTTTNCTCTATCACTCTTCTGCTAACTTCAGATTTTCTCTCCAACACGCCTATTGCGTCGAGCTCAACCTGGTCAGACGGATTAACAAATGAAGTCCATTTTTTCTCAAAAGACTGCTTATAAAATTGTCCTTCCTGGTCCCTCTTTGATTGTAACCACTTAGTGTACTCACCGATAAGGTTCTGCATCCAAAGATAATCGAGAATACAAAAATTAGCTCTATTGCAACACAAACCCCTATCAGCAGAAACATACAACAAATCACTAGTCCTGGTTCTAATAAACAATATAATTAACAAATATATACACACAAGTTAAAGCTACAGATATCGAAGAAAATATCTTTCGATGAAATTGTCTGCATTAGGATAAGACTATCATATGGCAGAAGGAAAGGGTGAAGAAAAAGAAGACCACAAAGCTGTGTTCGGTTTTCCTAAAGATGCAGTATCAAGAAGGTTGAAGAATATGATCCAAAATTCGTCTCTTAATTGATAAAATTAATTGATTGTCTTACATTCATCAAGTGAAGTCACAATTCTCATTTTTTTCAATTTTTTTTCCCGAATTGAAGACCAATCTAACTTGTGTTCCTTCCTTTGGTTTCTAATTACATCTAATATAATTATTTTGTTTCGGCAAACCAACTACAATTTCCCAAATAAGTAATCAAGCATAATCAGGTTTTATTGGAGAAACCAACCCTTGAAAAACGATAACTTCTCTATGCTATAATTTGACTGGTACAAGGATAATTTCACATGGTTGCTTAGCACTCATCAATTGCTTTACTTTCTAAGCGAGAAGGTGTTAGATAATGAATGTAGGCATAATCTGAATGTAGATATAATCTTATGTAATATACATAGCTAGCATAATTGATAAAATTAATTGATTGTCTTACATTCATCAAGTGAAGTCACAATTCTCATTTTTTTCAATTTTTTTTCCCGAATTGAAGACCAATCTAACTTGTGTTCCTTCCTTTGGTTTCTAATTACATCTAATATAATTATTTTGTTTCGGCAAACCAACTACAATTTCCCAAATAAGTAATCAAGCATAATCAGGTTTTATTGGAGAAACCAACCCTTGAAAAACGATAACTTCTCTATGCTATAATTTGACTTGTACAAGGATAATTTCACATGGTTGCTTAGCACTCATCAATTGCTTTACTTTCTAAGCGAGAAGGTGTTAGATAATGAATGTAGGCATAATCTGAATGTAGACATAATCTTATGTAATATACATAGCTAGCATAATTATAGGGATTCACAACAGATTTATAGGATTTTCTTTTTGATTCTTTCCATAGTTAGGGCTCTATGTACTTGTATATATACTTGTTACTTCTTGAATACAACATAAGAGAGATTTCCCTATTGTCTCTGTACTTTATATGGTATTAGAGCAGGTCTACTGCTCGTCGGAGTTGAGTCGAATTCGCTGTCGGAAATTTTGGCCGGAAGCTAATCTTAGGTCTTTTTGACATTTTCAGTTGACTTGTGGTGGTTCTCTGATCATAGAACCACATTTTGGCAAAGAACAACCTCAGACCAGATCTTATTCTCACTTTGTTTGGTCAGGTTTGAGTTTGGGTTATTGGTTATTCGATTTCTTTAATTCTGTGGTATTTTTCTTGGAGGTTGCCTGTGTGAGAAGCTTGCATCTTTATTTTTGACTCACTGTGGCGATCGATTAGTGACTTGATATTGTCTGTTGGGTCTTTCCTTATCAGAAACTTTGTTGGTCTCTGATTTTGTTTGAGTTGGGGACAAATTCGTCCGGTTCTCTGATTTGGTTGAGTGGATTATTAAAGTTGAATCATGTTCAATAGATTGTTGATTTCGTATCTACCAGGATCTGTTTAGGTATCTTTTAGCTTCGGGGACCTCTGTTAGTTTAATCGGTTTGTTATTGAAAGGGAAAAATGATGGTAAAGAATAATAATGCAACAACTCCTAGTCTAACAATCTTGGTTTCGGATGAGTTTCTAAAATTCCTTTAATATCACAATTTAGTTAAGGAATCTTCTACAGTTACTGTCTTTGCTGGGTCAGATAAAACATGTCTTATCACCTCTTTCAATAAATGCGTGATCGATTCAGGTGCCACAAATCACATGACAGGTAATCCAAATATTTTTTCTAGCTTTTGCTCACATAAGGCACCCTCTCCGGTTACTGTAGCTGATGGATCAACTTGTAGCAGTGTTGGACAGGGTTATTAAAAGTGAGCGCTTCTCTCTTAAAGCGCTGAAGCGAGGCGAGGCGCAAGGTCTGCGCTTTTCTAACCTAAAGCGAGGCATCTGGAAAAAAAGCGAGCGCTTCAGCAAAAAAGCGAGAAGCGAGAGGAAAAAAAGCGAGAAAAGCTCGCTTAAGCGAGGTCTAGTGGTTGCCTAGGGTTTTTTCTAAAAAGATTTGCAAATACACTTATGCACCTTTCTTCCAAAACATTTCTCGCAACTGCTACAAGCCAAAACATCCTATGACATCTCTTCTTCAGTTCTTTTCTTATTATCTCAAGGTAAGTTTCTCATTCTCTTCTACTCTCGACTCCTCTCGTTTCTCATCTTCTCTTTCTCTTCTTCTTTTCTAATTCTTTTCAGTTCTTCTTTTCTCTATTCTACCCTGTTTTCTAGTTATGCTACTGCTTTATTTTTTTCTAGAAACTGTTGTTCACTGGTTCTGCCCTGTTCTACCATTTTTTTTTTTTGTGACTGTTGTAAATTCTATCTCATTATCCAATGACATCAAGCCAAAATAAAGATCCAGCTTGGGCGTATGGAGTTGCAATTGGCAGTAGCACAAAAGTCCAATGTTATTTTAAGAATTGAAACATTTGCTTAATATGTTATTTTTATTGAGTTCTTGGTCATTTATTTATGCCTAATTTAATATTCTTTATTTATGTATTAAATTGCGCTTCACGTGAAAAAAAAAAAGCGCTTCGCTCTCCGCTTCTCGCTTCCAAGACACTGGTGTTGGATCTGGGATTGTTAAACCAACTTCCTCTATTACCCTGTCATATGTATTTAAGTCTACCAAACTTGGCCTTTAACTTGATTTCTATTAGTAAAATTACCAAATACCTTAATTGTTGTGTTGCATTCTTTCTCGATCATTGTTTGTTTCTAGATCTTAAGACGATGCATGTTATTGGTAAAGGATATATATCTGGTGATCTCTACATCCTTGATGAATGGGAGCCACGGTCTGTTGCATGCTCTAGTACCGTGTCTCCTTTTAAAGCACATTGTCGACTTGGACATCCCTCTTTGCCTTTGTTAAAGAAGTTTTGTCCTCAGTTTCAGAATATTTCATCATTAGATTGTGAGTCATGTCGATTTGCAAAACACCATCGCATCTCGTTAAGTCCCAGGGTTAATAAGCGAGCTGAGTCAGCTTCTGAGTTAGTCCATTTTGATGTTTGGGGACCATGTCCGGTTGTTTCTAAAACTGAGCATAAGTATTTTTTCACTTTTATAGATGATTTTTCTCGAATGACTTGGATTTACTTTATGAAGAGCCGCTCTGAAGTGTTTACTCATTTTTCTGCCTTTTGTGCTGAAGTCAAAACTCAATTCAATGCTTCAGTACGTACTGTAAGGAGTGATAACGCTAAAGAATACATGTCAGGGTAATTTTTCTCGAATGACTTGGATTTACTTTATGAAGAGCCGCTCTGAAGTGTTTACTCATTTTTCTGCCTTTTGTGCTGAAGTCAAAACTCAATTCAATGCTTCAGTACGTACTCTAAGGAGTGATAACGCTAAAGAATACATGTTAGAGTTATTTCAGGAGACAACATGGTATATTACATCAGTCTTCATGTGTTGATGCGCCCTCTCAAAATGAAGTTGCTGAGAGGAAGAATAGGCATCTACTTGAGACAGCTCGAGCACTTTTGTTCCAAATGAAGGTTCCTAAACAGTTCTGGGCTGATGCAGTTCTACGGCTTGTTTTCTGATTAATCGCATGCCATCTAGTGTACTCGATGGTAATGTGCCTTATAGTGTTCTTTTTCCGAACAAGTCATTATTTCCGGTGGAACCTAAGGTGTTTGGAAGCACATGTTATGTTCGAGATGTTCGACTATCTCTTACCAAGTTGGATCCCAAGGCTGTGAAGTGTGTTTTCCTGGGCTATTCTCACCTTCAGAAGGGGTATCGATGTTATTCTACTGAGCTTGGCAAATATTTAGTGTCAACTGATGTGGTATTTCCAAAGACTACACCATTCTTCTATGCACCTCCCATTTCTACAAGCAAGGGGGAGGAAGATGAGTGGCTATTATATCAGGTTACCCGTACTTTGACAGAGCAATCAGATAATACTCTTTGATCTCCCATTTCTTCTATTGAGCACCAATTGACTACTACGCCTTCAGTACCTGCTCGAACTGTGTTAGCAAGACCTCCAATTGTTCAAGTTTATTCGCGGAGGCGAGAGACAAATGATACATGTCCCCCACCAGTTCCTGCATCATCTAATCCTCCTTTGCATGATCCTCCAGATAACCTTGACCTTCCTATTGCTCTTCGCAAAGGTACACGTACTTGCAAATCGACATATTCTGTTGCTAACTTTGTTTCCTATGACCACTTATCCTCTACGTCTAGATCTATGATTGTTTCTCTAAACTCCATCTCCGTACCCAAAATAGTGAAGGAGGCTTTGAATCATCCCGAATGGTCTAATGCAATGCTTGAGGAAATACATGCTTTAAAGGATAACCACACATGGGATTTGGTAGATTTACCAAAGGGAAAGAAACAACTGGGATGCAAGTGGGTCTTTACAGTTAAAGTTAATCCAGATGGTTCTGTGGTTAAGGCCAGACTTGTGGCGAAAGGGTATGCTCAAACTTATGGGGTGGATTATTCTGACACCTTCTCCCCGGTTGCCAAACTCACTTCTGTCCGCTTATTTATTTCTCTAGCTGCGTCCGAGAATTGGCCTTTACATCAGCTGGATATCAAGAATGTGTTCCTTCATGGTGATCTTCAGGAGGAAGTGTATATGGAGCAACCACCCAGTTTTGTTGCTAAGCGGGAGCATGGGAAAGTCTGTCATTTGAAGAAGTCCTTGTATGGCTTGAAGCAGAGTCCATGAGCATGGTTTGGCAAGTTGAGTGAGGTAGTTCAGGAGTTTGGGTTGAAAATGAGTAAGTGCGATCACTCAGGCCTCATTAGATTTTTTTTAAGATTAAGACGTCTGAATCTGAATACACATCTGAATATATTAAGATGTGTATTAAGATCTTAATAGAAATAATTAAGACTGTTTGATTTTTAACATCTGAATGTATAAAATTTATCTTCATTTGAAAATTAATAAATATAAAATTCAAATGAAATACTAACTAATCTAAAATTCTATCAATAAAATATATAGTTTTTAAAAATATGATAGTTGGTGGTGGTGATGGCTAACGGGTGAATGCCGACTAGAGGTGGTGGTTGGTGGTATTTTTGGTTGATGATGGTGGTACATGCTAGTAGCTAGTAGTGATTGGTAGTGGTGACGATTATGATTGAGGATGATGGTGGTAGGTGGTGGTAGTAGTTGTGATTGAGGAAGGTGGTGGGTGGGTGGTGGTAGGTTATAATGATGGGAAGTGTCGGCTGTGGTTGTTGATGGTGATGGTGTGGTCAGTTGTGGTAGTTAAGGCGGATGAGTGTTGATTGTGGGGGAGAATGATGGTGGTCGGAGTGGTGGGAATAGTAGGTGGTGATGGTCGATGATGGAGTTTATGATTAAGGATGATGGTGGCATGGTGGTGGTGGAGGTGGCTGGGGGTGGTGGTGTCATGGTGCTAGTTGATAATGGTAGGCGGTGGCGGCAGTTAATAATGAATATGTGATAGCATCTTAATGAAATTAAGTCTCTGTTATAGATCTTAATCTTACAGACCTATTCAGACCCATTAAGTGGTTGTGAAGTAAAAAAAACACACTTAATGATTAAGATCTGAATAATTAAGATTCAGGCTTTAAAAACAAACGCACTTAATATCTTAGATCTGAATGATTAAGATTCAGACCTCCATTAAGTGCAAACAAATGAGGCCTCAGTCTTTTATCGGAAATCAGTAGCTGCCACTATTCTCCTTGTTGTATATGTTGATGATATTGTTATCACAGAAAGTGACTGCGGGGATTTCTTCCCTCAAGTCTTTTCTGCATACTAGGTTTCATACAAAGGACTTGGGTCAGTTGAAATACTTTTTGGGAGTAGAAGTAAATAGAAGCAAGAAGGGAATTCTTGTCTCAAGGAAAGTACATTCTTGACTTGCTTGCAGAAACTGGAAAGTTGGCAGCTAAACCTTGCAGTACTCCAATAGTTCCTAATGTGCATCTTATGAAAGATGATGGTGATCCTTTTGACAATCCAGAGAGATACAGGAGGTTAGTTGGGAAATTAAACTACCTTACTGTGATTCGTCTAGATATTGCTTTAAGTGTTATTAGCTAGTTCATGTCTGCACCAACGGTCAAACATTGGACAGCTTTGGAACAGATTTTGTGTTACTTGAAAGGAGCTCCTGGACTTGGCATATTATATAGCAATCATAATCATACTCGTATTGAGTGTTTTGCAGATGCTGACTGGGCTAGATCGAAAATTGATAGAAGATCTACTACAGGTTATTGTGTCTTTGTTGGAGGAAACCTGGTATCATGGAGGAGTAAGAAGCAAAGTGTTGTATCCCGATTCAGTGCAGAATCCGAGTATAGAGCTATGTCACAGTCTACAAGTGAGATTATGTGGATACATCATCTGTTGACTGAAATTGGGTTAGAGCATCCAATACCAGCAAAACTCTAGTGTGACAATCAAGCTGCCCTCCATATTGCATCAAATCTGGTGTATCATGAAAGAACTAAGCATATTGAGGTTGACTGCCATTTTATTCGTGAGAAGATTCAGGAACACTTGATCTCCATTGGCTACGTGAAGACAGGAGAGCAACCAGTTGATTTGTTCACAAAGGCGTTGAATGGTATTCGAGTTAATTACCTTTGTAACAAGCTGGGCATGATTAATATCTATGCTCCAGCTTGAGGGGGAGTGTTAGATAATGAATGTAGACATAATCTTATGTAATATACATAGCTAGCATAATTATAGGGATTCACAGCAAATTTATAAAATTTCCTTTTTGATTCTTTCCATAGTTAGGGTTTTATGTACTTGTATATATACTTTTTGATTTTGCACCGGGTGTCCGAGTCTCTTCGAGCCCCGACTAATCTCGGGGGTGCACAAGCCCTCGGCAAGGAGTTTCCCGCTAGTGTACCACGGTTAATTCAGGTTTTACCCAGTCCGATGGCCCTCAGAAATTGTTTGCACCCAGTGGGTTTCGAACTTGAGACCTTGAAAGGGAGCAAACCCCAAGGCTCAAGTCAATTGCCACCAGGCCAACCCCTGAGGGTTGTACTTGTATATATACTTGTTACTTCTTGAATACAACATAAGAGAGATTTCGCTATTGTCTCTGTACTTTACAGAAGGCAAGTTTGTAGTGTTGGGCCCATTCAAGACGTTTCTTTTCTTTCACACTCACACAGATAATCACGGTGAATATCAATTGGAGGTCAATTTTTCCAAGTTACGTGCAGAGAAAAATATCTTCTTCATCGAATAACCTGCAAAAATCAAGTTCTGGAAATATCCACCTTCACACGGTGGCAACAGAAGGGAAAATAATAAACTAATGCTGAATATTTCAATCATGCTTCCAACGTACTAATAGCTGAGGAGGATGACCAAGTTAAACTCCAAAAATGTAACTTTGGCTTTTTGATAACTGTTGAATACAAAATTAAGTAAATAAAAGTGTGTCCTCTCTAAATTAAGCTTTTAGATGACCTGGTCACACACTTCAATATCACAGCAGTCAGAGGTCCTGAGTTCGAGTCTCACCACCACCCATTATCAAAAAGAATTTCCACATGCTTGACCCATGAAAAAAAAAATCAAGCCCGCACGTGAAGAGGCATATTGAAGACAAAATTAAGTAAATAAAGCGTGCTTTTAGATGAGATGGTCACATACTACAACAATAACAAAGAAGAAAACAGATAATTGAGTTAACTCTAATTAAGAACAGTAAGGAGTGATGCACTCACTTGTCCTTCAAGAACCGCAGGACCGAGTATGTCATTTTGGACACTAGTGGTGGCTGGCATTTGAGTAGATTTCTCTCCTCTGAATACATATGAAGTGACAAGATCAACATTTGACAATTGTAGTGTTGATTCTACAAGCCGGACGACACGTGCTTGAGTAGAGTTTATCTGCATTTTAGTGCACGTAGCGAATATTAGTACAAAGGTATACAAGGGCATACGCCATGTGTTAGTTAAAAATTATAATAATACGGTGATAGTCACAATGACATCAGCACATACCATAGATAGAACTTGTCTCTTCCACAAAATGCTATCAATTTCCAGCTTCTTTGTGCATTCTTTTACACTATTGACAAGATCCTCAACAAAGAGCAGGTCCTGTTTGGCTTGCTGGCATTCTTGTCTCACAAGTCCTTGACAAGCTGAAACTAGTTGTTCTGCAATGGCAATTGGAGTTCCAAGCTTCAGCTTCATCCTCTCGATTCCAGTACTTGTTGATGCATCCAAGAAGCCATACAAGTACTTCTCAAGTTCATAGAAGCCTTTGGTTTTCCAATGAAAATTATCATTTGAACTTCGATTGCTTTGACTGTGAGCATCATCAAAAGTAGAAAGCTTCGCTTCAAGAGCAAGTCGTGCAGAAACTGGATATAGTGTTACACAATCTGTGTTCAGCAATTTCTGTGTATTTTCTTTGATAAATCCAATGGCCTCCTCCAACTACAGCATGAAGAAATAATAATACAAGACTAATCAAAATGGCCCAGCTCATATATCCACAGATAATAAGAAATTATTTCCTCACTCAACATTATCACAACAGCAAGAGTTTATGACCAACCTCGCCCTTATTCTGGTATATGTCAGACTTATTCAGCACAAACACGACCTTTTTACTCCACTGCTGAGTGTAACGCAGAAAATTAACCTGATAAGCACCATAAGTGCATGTGAGGTTAACTTTTGGCAAAAGAAGAAGAACCTAAAATCAACATGACAAGAGCATACTGTATACCAAAAGAAAGACATGCAAGAGAGATGACAAAAAGCACATGAAATTGAACTGTCTTTTTTATATCAGCAAGCCCGAGATATTAAACCTTCAGAAGTTATGATCTCATTAAGGCTCCTTCAACACCTAACGGTCCACCTTTATGACTTTTTGGGGGGGGGAGGGGGGGAGGATAAAAGGAAAGGATCACCTTTGGACAAAGAATTGTACTTAATCCACCATTTTGCTTCCTTACTTAGCTACCGAAAGATCTTAAGGAGTAATTTCAGAACTATATACTATTACTTTGACGAGTTTGATATTTATGAGACAAAGTGGGTCTCACAAACTTTTATGTTAGTACAATATCAGAGGTAATATGTGGTGAAAGAAAAAGGTCTCCATCCAAGTTAAGTAGACATCAGTTTATGATAATCAAAGCTCAGGAAAGACTATCTCTATGTTTAACATGCAAAAGAAACTCGATCTGTTTGGAAGAGAGTATTACCCAATCTTTAATTTCTAGCACGCAGAAATGTAGCAACAACAGGACATCCAGATGATCCCTCAAAGAACTAGCCAGACTACTGAAAATTCATTTAGCTTCAGTAAAAAATTTCTGTGTTAGAGTTTCCTTAATAGTAAGGACTAATCGGTGCTTGGAGTATGACTGGAGAAAAGAATTCCCAAAGACTACATGCTAATTCATGACTGTCTCATAAAGAATACTACGCAAAAGCTTTATAATTAAAATTACTTTTTAGGGCCTGAAACAGAAAATGACAGTGGCCGGCATAAGCCTCACAGGTTTGAAACAGAAAGTGACAGTGGCCGGCATAAGCCTCACAGGTCTGAAACAGAAATATGACAGTGGCCGGCATAAGCCTCACAGGTCTGAAACAGAAATATGACAGTGGCCGGCATTATCACTAAAAGGTGTGAGGTGTGCAACTAACGGTTCCTAGTTATCAGTACTTACTATAAATTCTAGTGATTGGTAAAAGCTAAAAGCAAAAGAGCATCAGGAACATCACATGCTCTTTTACAGTCATTAAATAAAGCAGGTGGCAAGAATTAAACCATAAAAGACAGTACACAAATCCTTATGAATACTACAGCACCTAACACATTTGAAATATAGACTGAGAATCAAATCCGAGATTTTTCAGTGATGGGAGGTATTGTTGTTGCAACGAAGCTCTAGTGACGTCCAAAAGATATACGGTAGACCGGTCCTTAGCTTCCTCAAGCACCAAAACCCTTCCAATAAATGAACAACTTCCTTGTCCTAATCCAATCTAGCTACAACATTTAAGCATGAAATGAAGATTGCTTAAAGGTAGCTGGCCAGTGGTACCACAAAAGAAATACTTCCCGTACTCCTTCGCAACTGGAGGTGCTCTTTCCACCCTCGCCCCAACTATGACACTAAGTGTTGTCAGATCGGCTGAGACAAAAAAGGTTGTCCCTTTGTTTCATAGTGCACCGAAAGCACAATGCTCGTAATAAGTTTATATTTAGGCACTAAGATGCAAAGAGACATGTTCCAATTATCGCCACAGTTTCTTGCCTTACTTTAACGCAAAACGTTTTTTAATTGATAAGCTATTTTCTAGGAGTCTTTTAGTCCAAGATAGTAGAAAATATATAAAACTTTTACTACTTTTTTATATTTGATTTATTATATATAATCTTGGACATATATGACCTCAAATAGAGTGACATGGACAATGAGGATCATATAGCCGATACCTACTTGCTTGGGATTGAGGCGTGGATGTTGTTGTATAAGTTATTTTGACACATAACCTTATCTGACAATTGAAATGGTAAAATTTCACTTGTACTGTAGATTGATTGAGATGAGAGCACAAAATTGGGTAATCTTGTCGTGAAAAATTGAAACCATATGCAATCCCACCTTAAACTCATGAACCCAAATGTCCTCATTCTTGCGGGACACAGGCCTAGGACAGACAAGGTCCCAGATTCTATAACCTTAAAAATGCTGAACTGGTACTCATAAAAGTAACAAAACAGTACCTCACTTTCAGTTAATGGTCGATCAGCAGACATGACAAACAGAAGCAGATCAGCACGAGGCACAAATTCCTCCGTCAGCTTTTGTTGCCTTTGAAGAATCACATTGGTCCCTGGAGTATCAACAATAATCATCTGCCAGAACAGACGAATAAAAAATTAGAGCAGGGAAATTAAGAACCCAAATCAAGTATTGAGGCAGCTTATACGTGTAATCAAATATTAGATTAGCCAAATACAAAAGCAGATAATTTAACTTTCTTTCAAAGAGTTCTCTACGGAATGGTGACCAGGCATGTGGAGAGTTACTCCAACCCATTTGAAGTCCAATTCTAAAGTTCAATCTAGATCACAACTAACCCATATTGGTTACAAAATAGAGCGTTTAAATGCAGTCAGTTTAGGAAGCATCTAATATTTCGCATAAAGAACAAGATTCAGCAAAATATGTGCCGAATACTGGCATCAAAGTAAATGTGCAATAAGCCTTCGAAACTAAAACTAGTAACAATTGGTGTGAAAAGCATATGTGCAATAAATTTTTGAACCTTAAACAAACATTTGCAGATCACAGTATGTAATAAATCGGAGAAAGTGTGCCAACCAAAATCTGCAGGGGGATTTAATGTCATTGATATTCAAGTAAGGAATAAAGCTGCTATCTGCAAGTTGTTATGGAATTTATGCAAGAAAAAGGATAAAGTATGGGTTCAAAGGGTCCAGAGCTGTTACATTGAAGGCAAGAAGAAGATACTGAAGGCAATGAAATATGTTGAAGAGGCTGGCATTAGTATGGATGAATTGCAGGAAACTGAGTCCTTATCTGTTAGTTCCATGTATCAGAAATTAAGAGGCAGCTTCCCTGAAGTCCATTGGAGGAAGTACTGAAATAATTTAGGTTCTCCCAAATGGTTGCTTATCTTAAATGTAGTTGCTCAAGGAAATCTTTATACAAAGGACAGGTTGCATAGATGGGGGGGTAATAGAGGACCGGAAGTATACCTTGTGCAAAGAGGCAAATGAAAGCATAGCTCATTTGTTTTTTGAGTCTGCTTATTCTGCTGGGATCTGGAGTAGTTTACCCAGATGACAAGGGGTATCAAGGAATATTCAGAGTTTGCAGGATGAATTGCTCTGGGCTGCATCACATATGAACGGAAAGAAGCCACTAGCTGAAGTCTGTAGAATGTCCTTAGTTGGATGTATTTTTTATCTATGGCAAGAAAGGAATTGCAGGCAATTTCAAGGGTAGCAGAGGGAACTGAAGGTGCTAACAAAAAAAGTGATTCAAGAGGTGTTTTGTAGGGGACAGCTGAAGCATAAACTGACAGGAAGATTAGATCAATTAAATATTTATCCTTAGCTAGTTGAGTAGCAGATAGGAGTTTTGATGAATACTGGAGCTTGGGGCTTTCAACTCCAGGTTTTCTTTCTTGATTGGGTTTTCTGTAAAGACTGTAAAATTTCTATTTACCAAAAAAAAAATGTAACAAATGATCTTACAAAAGGTTAAAAGTTGCATATTAAACCAACAGAAAACGAAGTATCCAACTTTAAAATGTGTCCCAAATCAGGCCAAGAGAGATAGTCAATAAGTGAGAAACACAAAACGGTAAGTCAATAGTGCCCTGTGATATGCCGGCATTATTGACATATTCATCAACATTATTACTTGCACATACAATTATCCAACATGACCGAGATATCTATTTAAATTCCTTGATGAAATGTTAAATTGGAAGTAGTAGCAATTTCAAACAAGAAAACTCACATCGTTAAGAACTGAAGCCGGCAAGTAGCAAACATACTGACCATCTGGATGCTTTTCACAACGCTGTGACTCATCGACATCCGACTCAGCATAGCGCAAAAAGGTGATCTCATTTGTTGTAGGAACAACGCCATCTTTCAAGTACTTTTTCCCGAGAAGAGCATTGATGAAAGTAGATTTTCCAGAATTGAATTCTCCCTGGTTTATCAAGAAATTAAGAATTCATAAGAAAGAACTGGATGAAGTATTAATAATAATGTTTATGCTGAATATGGTATTTTATATGGTCTTGAGAAAATAGTAATATGAAGAGAGAGACGACAGACAGAAAGAGACAGAGATAAGACTTAAGAGGTAACAAATGCAAGAAGTGGAAAAAAGAAATAGTGCAAAAAAGACGTAAAAAGAAACTTGTATAATCAGAATTTTCGTGTCTACAAGATCTTAGTTTTATGCATAGCTTAACATTTAGACTGGACCAGAGAAGGAAATACTCATTTGAAATTCAGAGCTAATACCCATGCATATCCCTGGAACCAGAATTTGCTGAAGTTCAGCGCACAATTACCACTATAACCAGTAAAAATGGTTCATCAAGTTGAGAAACAGCATCACTGAGAAGTGAGACCTCCTCCATCTGCCATTCCAGTAGTAGCCCAGGTTAGTCTAAACAAGCAAACCACTGACAGAAGAATTCTTATCTGTAGCACAATTCAGCAGCTAAACTTTGACAAAGAAGATCACCATTGGAGCTGCTTTTTCAATAACATGAATGGCCTCGCGCAAAACCAGTTTTTCTTTTTCTAGCAACTGCTGTTCCCTATCATGTAAACTGGTAAAGCCAGCCATCGCTTTCCTACCAGGAAAGCCATTCCCCAAGTCCAAAACATTAAGCTGACTGTTACTTTGAACTTTTTCCTCTGTTTTGTTCTTCAATGCATATGCACTGTAAAACAGTTTGCCAAAATCATCATCACTCACAGACTTCAAATCTTCCATCGAAATAACTACTCCACTAACCCCTGATTCAAGTAAATTTAATGCTTCACTGAACAACTTGCGATCCCCAAGTGAACCAACCATGACAAAAACAGGAATTTTCACATGCTCAAATACTGAGCTCACCAGCTCCTCATGTTGGCTATTGCCACCAACGTCATATATAAGGAAATCAGCTCCTTCAGAATTAGAAGCATCCACTGCAGCAGTAGGTGTTTGTACAATTCTTGCTACCAAAGGAAGAACTACTAACTCCTCAGATTTTGAATCCATCATTGTGTTTCTGGCCACGATAGCAGGAAGATCTGTTACAAAGGAGAATAGGTTATCAACTGCAACGAATTTACATAGCAGGCCACTCACTTTAGAAAACAAATCTTGCATCTAAAAGCTAAACCACAAATCTTGTTAAAGTTTGCATTCAACCAAAGCCAAATGAGTGAACCTAAAACTGAGCGTCAGTGGTGGCTAATTGTAAGTTGGTTAGGATTATTACCATAGTTAGCGAAGTTTGAACTTATTATTCATACACAGTCAGTATCAAGATGAACCACCGTAGACACTAATAATAAACATTTGTTTCATTGAGTATGTAATAATCAACATATTACACCTATCAACATCTCATGACCGGACAGATATATATTATATAGGAACCAGCTTCATATGAATAATCCTATTGCAACTAGTACTCGTAATTTTTTAATAAGTAAAAGTTACTGGTACTAGTGGCTAAGAAAATTACTAGCAACTTTACGTAACAATTATCTGAGATTACAACTTTATGTAACAAAACATACTAACATGAACGTCTTAGGGTATCACTCAATCAATCACCTACACCTCAATCCCAAACTAGTAGTTTTCGCTATAATGGTGAAGTGGCGATAAATTAAGATCATCACCTATTAAGATGGCCAAGTAGTTTTACATTTTGCACATTATTCATTTTAAATTATAAGACAAACCATCATAGCCCAAATTCAACATGTAAGGTGAAGCACATAACACAAAACGGTGAGTACCATGTTACAGAACATAACCTTGATCAGAGAGCAGAACTCCACTGGCACTAATCGCGGCGGCAATATCGACACGTCCATCGATCAACAAGTAAGCCCTGCCTTTAATTACAGATTTCAACAAACACGCAGCCTCGTACAACTTCCCGCCGCTTGCTCCACCGCCACTGAGCACCACAATGTCAACCCGACCCGAAACCGCCCGGTCTATCTCATTAATAACGGTTTCATCTTCCAACACGTCTTCGCAGCTCAGCTTTAGCACTAGGCTGGGCACTTTGATTTCCGGCCGCTTATATCCACCGGGGAAAAGCGTTCTAGGAGTTTGTTCGGGTCGGTTTAGATTGTTTATCACGAGCTTGACATTGTCACCAGGGGAGGAGTAGACGGAGTAGTTATTTCGGCGACGCCGGAAGTGCAAACACTGGCGGCGCATGGGATGGGAAAAGAGAGGGCATGGCGAGGAACGGACGGTGGAGTATGGCGTTTGTAGATATACCATAGAGAATAACGAATTTTTGCGTGCACGAAGCTTTGTTTTTGTAACAGCGACGACGGAATTGACGGCGGAGCACGGCGGTCAAAGAGAAGGAGGGACGACGGAGAGGCCTTATCTTATCTATATTGTGCTGAGAGTAAAGTGTGAACCAGTGGAGCAGCTTCAAGTAAAGCGCCAATTCTAAAACTAAGTGTTATATGAAATATAAGTCAAAGTAGCAATATGGAACAAGGAAATAAAAGCAATTTAGTAAAACATGAACAAGAAATGGAGATAGAGAGAAGGAAGAGATTTTTTTCTTTAATTATGTGTATTTTCCTATCTATTACAAGGCCTTTATATAGGCATGAAAAGTGAATGAAAATATGTCATTGAACATAGAAAATATGTCATTAAGCATTTGATACGAACATCATGGAGAAAGATTAGACATCCACCGTAACATGATATTTATCATAACAGTAACCAACTTCTTTTGCTCAGATTTATAACTAGTATACGTACTTGTTAAAAAATATATTAGCATGATAATATTGCTCTTAATTATTAGCTCATTTGAATTCTATGAAAGTATGGTATATTACTAAATTTACTACATAAATACAGAAATATGGTCAAGAATGCTTAATTTAAAAGGGAGTCATCTCAAACTCAAAAATAATATGGTTTCTAATCGTGCATTTTAGGAACCTTTTTACCAAGTCCTAAACCGTGATGTTGTGGCTTAAAGGCTCGAGTATTGATTCCCGTTTTTCCCATTTTACAAGGGTGGCTTCAATCGATGTCCTTATATTTGATATTTTTGAGAATTCAGATACAGTCTCTTATATTTGAAGAACAATTTATTTGTCTAATTCCTTTAAAACTTTTGATGAGGTTCCATAGTCTGGAAACAAATAATTATGATTTTATGCTCTATCACTTTTTCTATTAAGAAACATAAGTTCATGGTACTGCAAAATCAAAGTCTTATAAACTGAAGTTATCATTTAGTATTATATTGTGGAAAGTGAAATGATCTCACGTCAATCATCCATTCAAAACTACTCTTGCATTGCTCTTCTAGCAGTATCTTCTTCTACTTTCATGTGCCTCTCACATCTTCTCTTCCTATAATCAACTTCTGGCTTTTTCTGCATTAATTCAATTGTCTTTTCTGCTGATATTCTATCACACTTGTGTCCTTTCTGCTTTGTTCTCATCTCCTTGGAAAAATATTTTAATATTTTCAAGTCTTTTGTCTAAGTGATGTATGTGCATCTTTTAGTAGGTTCAAAACTGAAAGTACAACAATAACAAATGGGCTTTAATCCCAAGCATAAGGAACCAAAAGCTTTTAGCTTAATGGAATAAAGAAAAAAATAGGTAAGAAACTTTACTTTCCAATTTATCAATTTCACAAAAGTGCTAGTCTAAAATAACCTCACATCTAGCAACTAAGTAGGCAAAATTGCCAAAAAGCTAAAGCAGAACCATTAAAGGACTTTTCAAATTTACATTTTTCACAGGTGGAGGTATTTCTATAGCAAATTACATAATTAGGACTGTTTGATTGTTCAAGTAAAGTGACATTATGAACTGCTAGATCAGAGATTAGTCAAGACTTCATACCTTCTCTCCGTTGTCATTACCAACAACCCTGATTTCTACACCTACAACGACAACATCAGGAGCAAGAGGAATCTCTTCATAGCTAAAGAATTGTATGGCACCAAAATCGTAGCGAAAGAAGCCAAAATCATGAACCTAGAAAATGAATATCATAGTTGTTTGTAAACAAATAAATAAAGAATATGAAGTTGAAACATTATTTTGAAAGTTTCATCATCCTTAATTTAAACATGAAAAGAGCAACATGCTGAAGCAAAAAGAAAAATATCATTTCAAGCAAACATGGAGTTCTTGGGCATATGCATCATATGAAGTTATCCAATTTGTTTTTCAGTTTCACATGTCACTAGAAGGCTTTCCATTAGTAGCAAGATAATCATATTAGATATCATAAGATATAACAATCATGGCCTTCATTTTCACTTGGAAAAATACTTTTATCTTTTCAACTCTCTTGTCTAAGTGATATATGTGCATCTTTTGGTAAGTTCAAAACCGAAAGTACAACAATAATAAATGTGCTTCAATCCCAAGCATAAGGAACCAAAAGCCTTTAGCTAAATGGAATAAAGAAAAAAAAAAGGTAAGAAACTTTACTCTCCAATATATCAATTTTACAAAAGTACCAGTCTAAAATAACCTCACATCTAGCAACTAAATAGGCAAAACTGCCAAAAAGTTAAAGCAGAACCGTTAAAGCACTATTCCAATTTGTATTTTTCACAAATGGAGGTATTTTTATAGCAAATTGCAGAATTAGGACTATTTGATTGTCCAAGTAAAGTGACATTATGAACCTTTTGATCGGAGATTAGTCAAGACTTCTCATACCAACAATACTCTCTCATAAAATATAACAATCTGACACGAATTTGCTATGTCCATATTCTCAATCTAGAGTTATCCATATTCTCATTCACCAATATGTCATTCCCTTTGTTCTGCTTTGTATTTGAAGACAAACAACTTTCAAATGTTGCTAATCATTTGAATATTCTAGATAAATATAGATAACCATTACATACAAGTTAAGAAATTAGATCATAAAAGACTAAACATTTCTCAAATCTCGTAGTGAAAGGGATTTGGATTATATTCAAAGGGTTTGGAGGAAAAAACTTGTCCAAAACTTGTTATAGGGATGCCAACAGGTGGTGTACAATTCTGATATGATGGAGTTGGCACAACAACATGTCTATTTCTTTTATCACCATCTAGAGCATACATTGCAGCCATTCTAATTGGACTCAATCCAGATTCACCTGAATTCTTTTCAGATGTGCCATGACATATATTTGTGTTAATTGACATATTTGTTCTCATCACATTCCTTTGTTTCCCCATTTCATTGACATTATCTTTTAGAAAGCACCTCTTGCGTCTCGATTGGGAAACTGTTCATGAATATTTTCAATTAAGATAAGCTTGATATATATGAAAATATTTAGTAAAAATTAATACCCGTAGATTTATAGAAACTGGCCATTTGTTATATCAGACAAAGGAGGAAATCTGTTTTCTTTTTCATTAGCATTCCCTTTGCGATTTGTGGGATTAACATTCTCTGTAGAACACATGGAATTTTTGAAAATGAGTTACCGAAAAGGAATAATATAAAATAATTCAACATAGAGTCTACCAAAAAAATATAAAGTCTCATGCTCATTTCATACTTTGTTGGACCAAAAGAATTTCTCGATCGAAATAAGCCACTAACAAAGAAATTGGATCATAGAACGCCTAAACCATCTTTTTCCGAATTCATATTTTTTTATGATTTTGTAAACATTATATTGTTTCTTGTTGATGAGTATCTTCTCGTCTTTAGATTACACGGTAAGCAATCTTGAGAATTGGGAATGTTTTTAGGAAGACAAAGAGATAAGATGGTAAATATGTTATGAAACACGATTTTTTAGGAAGATAGAGATCACACGATATTTTTTATTTTTTAGTATTTTTTGATTATTAAATAATGGAAATTTTACAAAACAAAAGCAATAAATTTGGGAGGATTGATTGTTTCTATGTCGAAAAAATCTAGCTATTACAACTTGAGTTTTTAATAAATTTATTTGCCATGTGTATTTTTAATAGGTTGCCACTTGGCATTCTAATAACTTGTCACTTGGCTAAATGAGATGGCAAACTTTCTTATTTTAATATATATATATNAGTTATTTTTTTTCCTGTAAACTGTGATGCTTTTTGATTGAAAATTTAGATATTAATAATTTGATTTGTTTCTTTTTTGTTTTTTTTATTTGATTTGTAGTATTAATAGTAGTGGCAGAAATATAATTGTTCATGATTTAATTGGTAACAAATCAGTATTGAATGGTTTAATAAATTGAAATTCTTGAATATTTCTGGAAGTTCTATAAAACATAATGTTGACAAACATTTTGACTTATTGTACATATTATAATACGGAAAGAGCCATATAAATTGTGTACCATGAAGTAGTAAGTTTTAATGTAACTTATCAAATTAGAGATAATCAAAATAGTAGCAATTTATTTTTATTATTGGTTTGGCATATTTTTTATTTACAAATATTAGTATTAGTACTTATGTGATGAGCTGGCAATATTAAAGTATATTAATTATGTCAAAGTGTGATTTGAATAACATGATTCAAATATGAAATTCTATGTCAGCTTTGACCATCAAATAATTTGAGTAAAAGATAGTATAAGAAGAGAATGTATCGCTTTGTGTTTATATTTCTAACGGTAGAGTTATAAGAAAACTATTTATTGCACAATTAGATAATTTTAAGATGATTTCAATAATTTAAATATTACCAATAATAGTGTTCCTAAACTTTTTCATTTCAATTCTAGCATATTGTAGCACAATATATTGATATAGTGTACTAAAGTTAAGATAAATTTCATTTTTATATTAAAAACACAAAACTAAATAGATTATTTGCCATTGATAAATAAAACTCATACTCCATTTTGCACTTTATTAGGAAGATTTGCATGCATATTAGGGATTTAACTTCAATCAATGAGTTTTTTTTTTTTTTTTTTTTTTTTTTTTTTGGTTGAGAAAATGAAAAAATTACTTGAAAATTCTACTAGATTTTGGGACCAAGTTGGTTGCCTCTTTACATATATTAAGGACTTTATCTGTGAAGGGGTATATATGAAGGACCAAAATAAAACAACCCCATACATTAAGGAATATTTGATCATTTTCTCTCGTATCTTCTATATCCTATTTTTCTTTTATCTGCTTTGAGAAATAATTTTTTTAAAAAATCCCAAAGAAAAATCATAATTCCCACTTCCCCTTTTCCTTGTCATAGTAACCAAACATAGCGCCCAGATCAACTGATCACTTATCTGAGTATGAATATAAATTGCTGGCCCTCGTAAGTTTAAGTCCACAATCCTCAAATTCTCCTCCAATGGCTACTCTTGTTTCTTCATCCTCTCTTCTCCATTCTTCTTCTTCTTCAACTTCATTAATCTCCCCTTCTGTTTCACGCTTCTCTCTTAAATTTTCTTCTTCTTCTTCTTCTCTCTCTTCTTCTCTTTCCATTTCCCCATCTT